GAAAAACCAGCTCAGCCCTTCAGGTCCATGGGTGTAACTCCTGGGTTCCACCTCTCCCCTGCTACAGCAGGTCCTTGATGTAGATGTTCCTCCTGACAGCGTTGGAAACCCCTTCGTTAAAGCGGAACCAGACGTCGCTCTTCCCCACGGCTTTTCCCATCTGGTTCTGGATCGATTCCTCCTCGGGGGCCTGAGGGGCTGGGGGGGGGAAAATCAGTGAGAAAAAAAAATCAGTGTCAAAATCCTGCAGGAATTCTTACCCCCATGAGGCTGCCCCAGGGAGCTGGCGCTGGGCACGGGGGGGTTTGCAGGGGCAGAGCTGATGGTCCCACGTCCCCAGTCCTGCAAACACTTCAGGTGTCCCCCCAGCTGTGTCCCCCCCTGTGCTGACAGAACCCACTGACCTGCCTGTGGCATCAGGGTCAGGTCCTCAGTATCCCCTCCCCACCCCACTGATGTCCCCTGAGTGCAGAGCTCAGGGACACAGTCCCCTCCTTGGGCAACTGGGTTGGGGTCCAGGTTCTGGGAATGCAGTGACCCCCCCGAAAGTGCTCGCAACCACCCCATCCCTTTGCCACCCACCCAAGGCTGGGGACAACCCCCACATCCCTCTGCCACCCACCCAAGGCTGGGGACACCCCTGGCAACCCCCTGCCCCTCCATCACCTACCCAGGGCTGCAGCCACCCCTGGCCACTTCCCATCCCTCTGCCATCTACCTGGGACTTGGGGCCACCCCACGTCCCTCTGCCATCTACCTGGGGCTTGGGGCCAACCCTGGCCACCCCCTGTCCCTCTGCCACCTACCCAGGGCTGGTGTCACCCGCTGTCGCCGAAGTGGCTGCCCAAAGAAGTCAGTCTCAGGCTGTGAGAAGCAGAAAGCAGGAGCTGAGCTGAGCTCCTGTCCACCCCCAGCCCAAAGTGAACCCCATTTCACCCCAGCACCCCACTGACCCCGCTCAGCTCTGCCCAATTTTGAGCTAAATTAAGTCCAGAGAGTGTTTCAGGCACTTCAGAGCTGCCCCTGGGTGGGTTTCTTGCGTGGGGACCCTCACCCCACGCTCAGGGCTGTGCCAGCCCCCTCCCTGCTCGAGCAGCGGGTGCAGGATGAAGCCCCCGAATGCAAATCCTGCAGAAGGAGCCTGGGACAAATGCAAAGTGCATTTAAAATCGGGTGGGAAAGACAAACAAAGGCTCATCACGGACAGCCAAGGTCTCAAAGCTGAGTCCATGGACAGGGGTGGTGGCAGGGGACCACCTCTCACTCCTCCTGGCCACTCCTGAGGTGGGACCAGCCCAGCTCACCCATCACACCAGCAGAAGATGGATGGTTTCCCTTTCAGCCCCCTCACCCCACACACACACACCTCCCCCAGCCCCAAACAGCTCTTCCCATGACCCCGTAGCATCCACAGAGCTAAAATTCAGTTATTTTAGCCCAAATATCCACATCTCCTTCCTTCTCCACCCCTGAAAGCTTCACGGGGCCCATCACCCAGATCTAACTCATCCCCACGCTCCAACCCCAGCGCTGCATTTACGGGACGTGAGGTGCCAAAATTCTTCTATTCAAAGAAACTACTAAAAATAAATGAAACCCAAGGGGGAGATGCAGCCTCCAGCAGCCAAGGTCCACGCTGGTGGGAAACGAGGTACCAGCTGCAGCCCCTCACCTTGTCCTGCACCGCTGCTCTCCTCACGATGTGCTCCAGGCGCTGCTGGTGGTTGGGGGTCACAGTCTGCCCCGTGTCCACTCGCTCCCCCACCTTGCTGAGACCATTCCCGGGTTCCTACAGGGAGGAGAACCCTGAGCCAAGGTCCCCTTGGGGACAACCAAGCTCAGGGTTTGGGCATCACCCCCCCAGCACAGTGATGCAGAGCCTGAGGGTGCTTTGGCACCCATCCCACACACCCCCTCTAATTAATTACAATATCCCAAGGATTTGGGGAGGATTTTTGTATCATTTTCTGTCTCTCAGCAGCACGTGGGATTAGCCTGGGCAGTGGGCATGTAAACAAGGAGCCTTCAGAGATGTTTTTGCAGCATCTCTCTGCCCCAAGCATCCCTGGAGAAAGCTCTTCTGCTGCAACAAGGGGCTCACAGGGATTAATTATCCCCATGGCATTAGGGCAGGGCAGGTACCAGCTACCCCTGAGCTGTTCCTCAGCCTTTTCCACCCGTTTCCACCTTCTCCTGCCCGCTGCTCCACGGAGGTTTCAGCAGTGGGCAGAGTAACTCTGCTTCTCTCAGGAGCTTTGGGACCTTTGGGAGGATCAAAGTGAAGCAGCAAAGGGAGGTGCAGGCAGGAGAGAGCAGGTCAGTTCCCCCAGGGACATGGACACAGCACAGCCATGCAAGATAAATTCCCATCTTGGTGCCACCTTCACTAGAGAGTGAAGGGGTTAAAGCTTTAACTCACAGCCAGCATTTATTACACAATTCCTCCAAAAAGATGAGTCCTGTGGGCAAGTCACCCCGGTGGGGACGTGCTGCCCGAGGGCAGATGTGCAGGCAGACGGGTGTGACTCCGGGGGGTTAATCCTGGATTTCCATTTGCAGAGTGAAAGCCACTGGCTGCTTTGGAAAGCCCAGGTCCCTACAGCAGCTCTAAGGACTTTATCCCCATCGATGGACCCACCACCCCCCCGAAACCACAGGATCTAAAGCTGCTGGAGAGTGTCCAGAGGAGGGACACAACATTGGGGAAGGGTTTAGAGGGGAAGGGTGTGAGGAGAGGCTGAAGTCACTTGGTTTGTTCAGCCTGGAGAAGAGGAGACTGAGAGGAGATCTCATGGGGGTCTAGAACTTCCTCCCAAGGGGCAGAGGAGGGGCAGGCGCTGATCTCTTCTCTCTGGCCACCAACGAATGCCAGGAGCAGAGGACATGGCAGGAAGATGTGGCAGGGGAGGTTGAGGTTGGCCATGAGGAAAAGGTTCTTGAGGCAGAGGGTGGTGGAGCACTGGAACAGGCTCCCCAGGGAGGTGCTCATGGCACCAAGCCTGACAAGATTCCAGCAGCATTTGGCCAAGGCCCTCAGGGACATGGTGTGAATGTTGGGATTGTCCTGTGCAGGGACAGGAGCTGGACTCCATGATCCTTGTGGGTCCCTCCCAACTCAGAACACTCCATGATTTGATGATTCTATGACACTGTGACCCCTCCTCACCTCGCCCAGGTTTCGTGACTGCAGCAAAGCCTCTGTCCTCCTCATCTTCTCCAGCTCGATCTCCCTGGCAATGAGCTGCTTGGCCTGGTAGGTCAGTTGCCGGCGAGCTGGCAGGTCCGGGAACCGGCAAACGTCCTCCACGTTCCTGCATCATGGAGAGGAGGAAGCAGAGAAAATAAATCAATATGGAAAATAATTTTTTTTAAAAAAGCATTATCCAAAGTGCAGCCTGACACAGGCAGAGGGAACCCCCCAGCTCCCAGCTCCATCCCCCCCGACCCCGGTGCCTCAGTTTCCCCTCTCTGAGCCTGCCCAAC